GTCTTGAGGGCTCTACTCCATGAGTCAGTGCTGGTGAAGAGAATTGATAAACACTTTCGAGACTTGAAGCAGAGAATAAAACGATGGTACACAGTTCCCCGGAATAGTAATACATTACACCTTGTATTTAGAGCTATAACGAACAAGTTTAAAACTAGTCGCAAGTTTGATAAAGTTACTCACTGATTCCCGAGCTGGTCAAGCGCCAACTACACGACTTGCATCGCTAGCCTTCCCATCCTGCGCTTCCCGAACTTCTTTAGACAAAACGGATTGAGATTTCTCCATTGTCTGCTCGTAAACAGGAGTTATTGCGCGCGGAGTAGCTGGATACGAGTTCCATGGAGACACTCCGTACGTCTCTTTGATACTGTCTATGTTACCACGCTGAGCGGTATCCGACCAGACATTATGAGTAGATCCATATCCTCCTGAGGCAGTAGCTGCAGTACCAACGAATCAGAAAGAAGTAAAGATGCGAGTACAGGAAAAACCCACAATCGCCCTCTGATGGATAATTCTTCGTTTCCTCGTCAATACTTAAACGCCTTCCTTTCTCCGTGCCTGAACACATGGAACATCAAGTTTGTCCCGGGGCATTTACTCAAAATCAGCTGCTTTGGGTCGAGAGGCAAGACACATGACCACGCACCATAGCTGTTGACGACGTTTTCCCCGACCGATGCACCGTGATTATACTGACTAGACATGTTGTTGAGAAGGGTAACTGAGGGGGGGGGGACGGCGCTGTTTCGGATGTTCCTTTTATACGTCTCTGAGGCGGTTCTGGCCGCGTCAAGGGTGGGGCTCCACGGTAACGTGAGTTCAGTAAATGAACATTGAATTCACTGCCACTGTGTCAGCGCCAATCCCTTCCAGGAAACGGACCAAGGGACCTATGTAAGTACATAAACGCGGTTAAGAATATGACATCATGGCTCTTGCCGTCGAGTGAGTCGACTGTTCATAAATTTCGGAAGAGTATGGAGAGGGATGAGAAGGGAAGGTTTGCTGACTAGATGGTGGGAATAAAAGACTCTCACCAGAACTATCCTTCTTGACCTTTTGCATCAAACTAGTCGATTCGGAGCGATGTACAAGCTTTGATTGTTTCCCAACGATAGCCTCATAATACCTCCTTGCATCATTAGATATTCCGGACGAGATTCGTAAAAATGCTTCAGGTCTCGTTGTTAGAGATCTAGTCAGTTCTGTGAGGATGTATCGTGGAGGTCGTTCTTCATTGCATAGTAACGATAATAACGAAGCTCCCCGTTTTAATAGAAAGAGAAGCGACCGCCGGGTGAGAGGTGAACCGGTGATAATCCATTTCTGAGGATTCAAAACACTCTCTTGCTGAGAGAGAAGTTGGGAGGAACGTTCGTATTGAAATTTGACACGGACATTGGGTCGAGACTTCGAGCGACATGAGGTTCTCCAAAAAAAAAAACAAGGTAAAACCTAACCCCAGGTGCTTCACGTTGCAAGTGTAACGGTGCGTCACACTGACAATTGACAAACTCGGATGTCTGGGCCACTGAACTACGATCTCGTACTCAACAACCCAAGCCCAGGCCTTCTGCCTACACTGACCTGACATTCTCTGCACAAAAATGTCTCCAGCTCTGTTATCTTTGGGTCTCATCACGGATATCGTAGCCTCATTTCATACAAGATGCGATACATGAATAATGCACAACATGTCAAAAAAAAACATACAAGTAAAGTCCGTCTGTCCGTACAAAAAAAAAAAAAAGAAAAAAATTCAACGCTACAGATCTTGCATCTTATCGATTAACATGGCCCATTCCAACACAGTTACTCCCTTCTCAACCGCAACTTTCTTGATTTCTCGGTCTCTCGTACCCTCACTCATCTTCCCAACGGCTTTCAAGTGGTCCTCTGTACGGATTCCTAAATCATAGAGGATTGGTTCAAGGTGCATGAGCGAGGGCTTGCAGGAAGTCAGAATCTCTGCTACTGAGTGAGGATCACGGGGAGGAGGATGTATGGAGGAAGGTTGAGTGCTGGTACTCGGCCTAGGCGTACCGGAGAGCCGTCCACGAATACTGCTAATCGTTGAACCATTAGAGCGTGTTGGTAACAGCGATAACGCTCTCGGGGGGCTGGTAGTCGAAGCGGGATGTGGATCTCGAATGGGAGTCGAAGTTCGAGGATGAGTGATGTTGGCGGATTTGTCGTAAGCTGGGTCGGGTTCGATCGGGTCCCCCCAATCCACATCGACAGGGAGAGACCGGGAACGACGATGGGTAAGCTGCCTAACCCCGTCATCATCATCTTCCTCCTGAAGTTGTTCGTCTATATCTCCGAGTTCGCTCATGGAAGGCCATGGCGTAAGGACACGATCTCGGATGTCACTTTGCGGTTTCTATGAGAATCGGAGGTTACTCGGAGCTGTCGAGATAACGTACGCATCATGACGAACCTCATCCTTTTCCTTCCCTTTTCTGCTTCCCCCGTTACTCATCGTCGGTTTTGGAACCATCCTCGGTGACTTGGACCCCATCCATTCTACCCCGCTCTTTCCCCTCTCAAGAACCCTCTGCTCAAGCTCGATAACCCTCCCGTCTCTATCTTCAACGGGATAGTCATCCGCGTCAATGTAGTAAACACTCATCCTCGTCTCCTCCTCCCCATTCCCTTCTCTTCCGACACCATTCGCCTCAGCAACTCTCTCCCTCCACGTCGAGATCGTAACAGTTTTCTCAGGGGTGTCTTCGAGAACCCGGCTTTTGACGACCTCGTAAGACTGATGGCGACCGGGAGGACGGATATGAGGTGGTGTTGTGGATACGGCTTTCGCATGAGATTTACTAGCTGGAGTTCGAATTCTAGATCTCGATCTCGATCTCGACCGAGAACGACGATTGAGACCACTGTCCCTTCGCCTTCGCGTGGTGGAAGGCGCGCGAACGATTTCTTCAGCGCGATAGACATCGTTCTCTCTACCTCCAACACGAGTATGATCGTGGGTTTGGAACTGTGAATTGGTGTAGTTTCGGTTCGAAGATTTTCGGGAAGCACTTCGTAACGGCTGAGAAGGCTCTGCCGCGTTCCCGTTGGTATAACCTGGACGTGACGTCCGCTGTTCACGCGGAGGAACATAACGCGAAGCAAAGTCATCGGAGGGTCGGAAATGGGAGTTGTAGCGGCCATTTTGAGGATTGGGTAACGGAAGAACGCGAGATTCCGCACGGGAATGGCTACGTTGGTTGCGGTGATTATAATCGTCCACTCGAGACGTCGATGCCCTTCGGTAGCGGTGAAAAACATCGAATTTTCGACCAATTTTAGGTTCGTTCCGCCTCGTATTCTCGATGAACTCGTCGTTGTCTTGCTCCTCCTGCTGGTCCTCTCTTCTTGTTCTGGTCACTGTATCCCTCCCACCCTCTGTTTCCTCCACTTCTTCCAACTCTTCATCGACTTCGTCAATCTTCTCAAAGTTCGTGTTCGTGTTCGTATATGTGATTGCATCAAATTCGTCATCGAGTGTTGGTTGCGTTGGTACCCATGAGTATCTTCCCTTTCCTGTGTACATCGTCGTACGAGTGACTGTGTCGAAATCCTCGTCGAGAGGAACTGAAGTAAGAGGTGCTCGGGGTCGTCGAACAATTCGTTTACTCCCCGGTTTTCCACTTCGGTCGGGGACGATGTAATATACCCCAGATTCTTGGAGAGATGAAGGAAAATGAGGGGATAGGGCGTGGACACGGGAACTGGTTAATGGATTTGAGCATGTTTAAATGGGGATGGGGGCTCACCTGTTTCATTGTCGCCGTTAAACCCCATATCCCCCAGCCTGTTTCCGTTCGTTTTTTACGTTCCTCGGAGTGACGAAGGTAGTGCTCGTGGTTACGACCTTGTTGGAGAAATGCTGGAAACACGAGGTTTATCCTCGATATCCTCGATTTTTGTCGCGTCAAGGTTGATGAAAAAATGGAGACAGGAAAAGGTGGAAGACCGAGATTTGAGGGCGGTAGAGTGTCAAACGGGAAAAGGGAATAGACCTGTAAATGGTTGAAATGGTTTACGTCGTGGATCGTGGGTGAGGTACGATTAATTTGCCAGGTTGCTGAATGAATGAATGATTAGTATGTAACAGGCATTGACTTTTTTTTACTCACCTGGGTGGTGGGCGTTCGGGCACCGTACGTGATGCAAGTCGAACACGAGGAAACAACATGTTGTTGTTTTTTTGCTTGATACACGTGTTGTGAAGATGTAATCGATAAATAACTTGTTCTATTGTTGATGGAAAATCTGTAGTCTAAACAATCCAGCTGGCGCTTCGACCACGAGCCATGGAACGCGTTGGGTTAAAAAAGGAGGAGAAAAGGACGAATTAAAAAGGATAAAGTGGGGGGGTATTGAGTTGCATGGGATCTGTCGAGTAATCAATTGAGTGAGTAAACAAAGCGTGATCAGAATTTCGAAAAGCGAATCACTGCATCCGACATAAGCGGTTTGATGAAAACGTGTATGTCAGTTGGACCAATGAATGTGCCCAATTTTATGTGTATGTTGAATGTAGCTCGCATCCACTAGGTTCTGTTCCATATGTCATGATGACAGACGGGTGATGCTTGATGACATTAATGAAAGCTTGTTTCCGGTGGTTTTAAGAAGTACGGACTCGCCTCAAAACTTTACCGAGGAGCCAATTGACTGAGTAGGAGACGAGTGGTAGCGAGAAGGGTAGCCTGAGACTAGAGCTTTATGGCAAACCGACTTCAAATCCTTTCCCTCGCGTGCTTTATTTAAACTTTCCCGGAAGATTGAAGGGAAGATCTCGCTCTCGGAGAATCAGAAAGTCGAGAACCCAAGCTGCATGAACCTGCTATGTTGAAAGTTGATTGATTCTCAGTGGCACCCTGGGTGACATACTCACGATCGCGAAGGAGCCACCGGGCACCCGAACACCGGGGCGGGATTGATAGACATTGGATAGATATAGTCACAATGAAATTCGACCATCAACAGGGCACATGGTGTAGTTGGTTATCACATCCGCTTAGCATTGATTTCGTAGCTTGTGCGGGGGGTGCTGGGTTCAATTCCCAGTGTGTCCACCAATAACAACTTTTTTCAACAAATCGAACAAGTAACAAGTATACGATGACAGGTCCTTTCCATGATTGCTTTCACGGAGTGGCGACATTATTCAGTTTGAACGGGTATTTTTTTCACGTGAGACCATGACAGAGTAGAAAGGGGAATTGACCTGCACAATTTAAATGCAAGACAGGTTCAGGTCTACTGACAGAATCGGCGTGAGTTCACTGACCATGTACAAGCTCAGAGATCTCTTATTCTCAGCCTACGTTCTTCTCAGGTACGCCTGCAAGGACAAAAAGCCTCCCAATAACACGAATGCCTGAATTTTCCACGCTGTCAGTGGTCCCAGTACCACCCGAGCCCGAAAGACCACATAATAATTAGTAACAGTGTGATAAAACGACTGGCAGCAGGAAGAAGGGCTGGGCACAGTCACCCGACCTTGAATACGGTCACCCACTTCATCCCGAAAAATCCTGGAGGAAATAGGGGGCTGATCGTCGAGATTCGAGAAGTAATCCATGATACCACACACCTGAACCATGCATCATCAAACCTACACTGAACATGGGAGCCAATGATGAAAATTTGTAGGAACGAGACTCGGCTGGTCTGCGAAGATACAGGGGGGGGGACCATTTTTAGTCGAAAACGAACGTCCAGTTTCCGATGGGAGTTGACTAGTGACTCACCAGCGCTAGCAATACGCTCCGATATCCAATAACGCTAATCCGACCCGCGTTTATAAAGCTCTTCGAGTCCTTACCTACGTACTTGGATTGTCAACCGAAAGACTTCCCCACTTGAGCGAGCGAATCTTTCAGTTTCACTGATGCGAAATTCAGCTTCTCCTCGTTTATATACAATCAACAGGCCACCGTGAGCATTACTCCAATCCGGAAAATACGATACATCCAGCAAGAGAGGTAGTATCTTGGACAGAGATCGTCCCAGAGAGAATCGGTCGGTAAGGTTTATTTATCGCGTCTTCTTCCACCCCTGTACATCTAATTCGCCGTGCAGAGCTAGAGAAGGAATAAATAGATCAGGACAAGAGTCTTGTGAGTGCTGGGAGCGAAGGCCGATGCCAAAAAAATGTGGGGACGACAGGAGGTCGTAGAGCGTCTGCCCGGTGTAACTGAAGAACTGAGCCTTCTGCCTTTTTTTTTTTTTTTTTCATTTAAAGTGAATGAAAGAAAGCGACAAACCACAGGAATAATGGTCGTTTTCGATATTGACGAGGTGAAATTGTGTAGGACCCTGAGCGCTTTTAAGACCTCCAAGCACCAAGTTCGTGTCGGAAGTGGAGTTTTCAGTGAATCTTGAAGGAGAATCGGAAAATTCGTTGCTTGGGTTAGGGATCCATGTTGGATGGGAGGACGGAATGAGAGCAGATGGGGAAGTTTGTCAAGGCGTGGGCTGTTCTTTGACAGAGAATTAGACAGTTGGATCCTATATCTCCGATGGGAACTTGATCCACGGCCATGATAGGAACGCCTTCAAGGCACGACCGACGACAGATGCGTGGAAGAGTTCGAAACCTTCTGCTCCACTTGATAAAGAAATGAGACTCCTATGATAATTGGCCCAGTATGAAGTACGGTGGACGGGAGGGCGTGCAGATAATGGAGGGGGCAACTCGCCGGAATTTGTCCTACAATATTCGTTAGTTAGATTGATCGTAGGCGTATCAACATCTATCAACAACCATCAATGGTAGGCAGAACGAGTTCGGAGATCCGGAGATTACTTCTGGTCCGACGACTTTAGTGCGCTTGAAGGCGGAGTAGCATCCATTCCCAAAAGCAGGAAGATGACGATACGATAGAATGTCAAATCAATTACAACCGGCGTACAGAACTTTATCCTCAAGCTCACCTACAATTTCTCAGAGGACATAGAACTCAAAACCGCAGAATCGTCACAGTGCGGTCAATTTATTTTTCAGTTTTTCGCTGGAAGACCTGATAGCGTAGCATTATCGAGAGGGGGAGTAAACATGAATTGCACTGTAAGGCTTCCGAGAATCTTGACAAAGTCGGAACTCGGTCGTTTGACGCTAGAAATGGTTGCTGCCATTATAGTCGACAATTCAGTTGGAGCATCGAATGTGCCATAAATAACGTGTTAGTCTAATAAAAGCATCTGCGAGCAGGTCTTGTCGACCCAGCAACAGTGCGTTAAAGACAATTGGAGTGGAGTCCTTAGGAAAGGTAGGACTTACTGACTCGTACAATAACCATAGTATCGGGCGTCTTCAAATGGAGAGCTTTTACTTCTTTTAGTATCTTCGAACAATGCAGCCCCAGATGATTGGATGGCTAGTGTTGCTGAAGTGGAAATGAGGAATATAGGTGTACGGGCCGCTTACAGCAACTGTTGTGCGTCGGGTAATATGATGGAGTTCAGAAGGCAACGAAGAAAAAAAAATTGTGACAAGTTGTGTGACGCGCAAGGATTAGTCCGGAAAGCGAATACCCCGGCCCGTCAGACAACTTCAAGTGTGGGATTCAGCCCCGAAACATCCGGGTCATACCGTCATAGAGAAGCCACTTCTGTCAGTGTTTGTGCGAGCAAGAGAGTCGCTGTAGATCGAAAAATTTAGGCATTTTCACCTTTGAACGAAGCTTGGTAAGTATCCCGAGGCCCACAAGGGCTAGCAGTGGGAGGGATTTATCTAATTCCTTTGAACATTCAACTCTGCGCCGATTGTCGCCTGTAAATGTACAGGCTACGGCGTAGTAACGTTCCCCGGTTCCAGCTTGAGTCGGATTTGCATCCGCAATGATTCACAAGAAATCAGGATAGTAAGCTGACGGCCACACTTACCCGGTCCAGCACTTCATTGATCTCCTTCACTACGGGTGGCAACTGGAGGCCAAGTTTTGGCAATCTCGGCAGGTATCATCTTGAAACATTTACACGCCTTGGTTGAGCCTATCACTTAGCGGAAATGTGAACATTCTCTCTGCTTACCAGCAGGGTCGATACATTCATTGATGGCTTTCCGAGGAACACTGTACATGAAGGAATGTTAACACACAGGAAAACTGCGAATTGAAGGGGGCTGAAAGACGTGAAGAAAGGTCGAGCCTGATAGGTTGATTTACAGAGATGGGGAGCCTCCCTCTGCTGTTAATAAATTGTGATAGGAAAGATCTGCGGTCGACCATCGTTCATCTTGCTTGGTGACTCGGCTAAAATATTGATGGCACAAATTGTAGGGTAAAGGTGAATTTTCTCCGGCGGTACCCCGCGTCAGGGCGTCAATCTCCTTTTCCCGCTTTCAATAAACAGGCTTCGAGAATAGCCTTCGAGAACCAGGGAGGCTGCAGTGTCAGGGGTATGAAGGAGGGGCTCCATCCGGTCATACATTGGCCTCTTTGACCCTGATAAGGAATTCGGGAATTGGGCCGGTGGGTTTCGTCGTGCGTATAATATTCTGAGTCCTTCGAGATGGTTGGGATCTCTACGACCCCACCCTCCTTCATGGGGCGGGATATACGAGAGTCAAGAATTGTATCGCTGACAGCGGTCGTGAATTGACCAGCCGCGGCTCTTTCAGTGAGTATCCCTCTTAGTCTCTACAGAAAGGACACATTAGTCAACTTCAAATTCTCAAAATTCAAGTTGATGTTTCTGGCCTACGGTGCGTCTTCTTTCGCCGGCTTTATTTTGAACCATTGTTTAAGCCCTTCTTCACTTTTAGGATTTTATATACTCCTCTTCATCCTCTCCATCTTCATCCTTAGTCTTGCTGACAGCAGGTATTATGACTGTTTGCTCTGACATTTCCTAATTCAACCTCAAGAGAAGCTGTTGTCGTCATGACCTGATATTATTCATCTATGTATCTCTATGTATCCTGGGCTGAGCTGATATAAGTCGAAGTGGTAATGGTTAGGCAATGCAAAGAGGAAGAACGGCCTTGCCCACAGGTGATAGCGTTTTGGCAGAATTATGTGTTCTTGTACATTATATTGTTATAGTTGCTTTTGGATATAGCAGTTTGTGATGAATGTTGTTATGATCTACATCAACTTTTTAGTCTTACTAGCTCTTAGCAGTTTGAGGAATATCATCTTCAGATAAGTTTTGAATAGTTATCTCTTAGCCTTCTATAGACTTTCAGGACTAAAAAGACCCTAAAGGTTTTCTTCCTTTGCATGATGTCGATAAAAAGTCGTTTGAATCTCTGGAGTTTTTGCAGTGAATCCTATTAGAAGGGTACATTATTGAGAGATTTGGTTCTTCCTCTATTCTCAATCCATGCCTATGTATACAGTATGCCCTATGCTGGGGAGGTTTAAATCCCTCACCACAGAATCAGCAGGCTGAAGCTGTGTGACTTGGCCGCACACCTCTCAGCACTTGTAATGCTACTCAAAAAAACCACTTAAACTACAGGAATCTATTGCATTATAGCACCCTTGCAATATAATAGCCCTGCTCACAAGCTACACAAGGAAAGCTCTGTAGCTCTCTTTGAACATATTAGCAACTAACATTCCTGCTGTTGAGGCTGGAAAATGCTCCAACAAGCATTGATAGAGTTGGAAACTACAAAAACAAAAATTATGCTTCTTATTTCCAGCTTCTTATTGGTGACTATGAAAATCTGCATGGGAGTAGAAAACATGAAAAGCTTGGTATTGCTATTAAACTGGCTTTCTTATTCTAGCAGGATTCTAGACTTTGCCTCTACTCTTATGAAGTAAGAAATTGGAAGAAAATCATAAATATCGTCATGTTGAGTGGTGGTGGTCACCATCATGCAAAAGGAGTCAAGTGAGTTGCTGATTGTTACATTGAGCCAATGGAGGTCAGCTTAACAGTCTATCATAATGGAATCAATGGGAGCTTTGCTACAAAGAATCAATCCTTCATTAAATTTGGAATTGATAACCAGATATGCATCAAAAGGAGCTGATGACAAAAGGTGTGTATCTGTACACTGATAACTGAGTCAATAAGTAGCCATGTACTAACTGAATGTTCAAGTTATTCTAGGAGC